AAACTTAAAATGGAAAAATAATGAGGTATTTTGTTTGTTGATAGAGATAGTAAAGCTTTTGTAATAATCCTGTATATCATTTAATGAAATGCAAATCCACACACAAACAGCAAGAATCTGTTCTGGCTATTAGAGGTGATTAGTGAGGTAGAGAATCCCAAATGGTGGATAATTATCAAAGTACTATTGGACTATGGGGGTGGAGAAGAAGGGAGTGAGGGACGGTGAAGAGGCAGAAGACAAGACTTCTCTCCTGTGAGATAGCTCAGGAGAGGGGCTTTAGTTTGAGATTACAAATTTCTTGAGGAAAATCCTCTAATTAGATAATCCACCCATGAAGACACAACTGACTATAGTTATAGGCAGTGAATGAATTTAGACTGTTACTTTGTAAAAACCATCAAACCAACCAACCACCTCTGTCTTTGCCTCTGTCTCTCTCTCTCTCATACACACACAGTCATTTTCTCAAAAGAATGTAAGCTCCGTGAAGGCAAGGAGATCTATCTGCTGTGTTCATGGTGCCTAGAAGAGCGTGGGGTACAATAAATGTTTAAATAGTGTTGTTCTGAAGCAGATCTAAATATGTAAATATATTCTTTGGATATATACTAGTAAAAATCAGGACTATACTTCTGTTTTGTATTAAGTGATGTCTTAAAATCAGGTTTTGCTTCGAGATAATTTTGTAAAAGAGAAATTTAAAATACCAACTGGAGATACAGCACAAAACAGGACTAGGATTAGCGAGCCCTGGGTCATCTCTTTCAGGGAAAGCATAGAGTCATCAACTGAATGTTTGACACAGAGCAAGTCTCCTCACCTCTTTCGGCCTCATCTGCAAAATGAGAACTGTCCTCCAGCTAGAAAGCATCACAAAGTAAATGTTTTGTTTTGAGTTTTCTTTCACAAACACTCTCCTCCTTGTGTGGGAGATAGGGCTATTATTACATTTCTATGATCTTATTTTCATTTTATATCCTGGGGTAACAAATATCTCTTTAAAAATTAAATTATAATCGTATTCTTTGTACTCCCCCCAAAAAAATTAAACACATAAATTTTATTAAATTATATGAGATATAGTGTAATGCTTACGTGCTTGGTCCTCTGAGCTAGATTTTTGAGTTCCACCGCTTAAATTAGGCAAATCATTGAATCTCTCAGTGCCTCAGTTTCCACCTAAGGATGATAATGATACTGCCTCACAGGATGAGCAAGTGGATGAAATAATATATTTAGCACAGGGCCTGGCCATAGTCAATGCTCGGCAAACATTATTTTTATTTTTAAACTATTTCCATTTCTCCATTTGCCATCTTTCAATATATGTATACTGGTGTGTATACATATATATGACATATATGTATGACATTATATGTGTATATGTTATAATCACATAATTGTTTATATCATATGTATCATATATATTATAATTTCAGGCACAGGGTTTTACAGCTGGAAAGAATTTATAGATCAAATTCAAACCTCTTCTTTTACCCACGGGATGTACAATTATTACATTTGTATTCTTTCTATTAGACTCAGAGGGGTGTAGTGATCCCGTTAGTGACGGAAATGATATTCAAACCTGAGATTCCTGGCTCGGGGCTACATTCTCTCTACCTTTCTTCAATTTAACATTAAGTAATAATAATAGCTATTTCCTCTCAATATCATGAAATATTCCATAGGCTTTTGGTTCTCAGTAAATTATGATATCACTATTTGCCGATTGCAATTATGATTGCTGATCTCTCCATAAATTAGGAAGCTTATTCACTTAAAGGAGTCTATTTGACTTTAATGAAAATGTGATGATCTAGGTAGTCAGTCAGAAGAATCTACTTCATGAAATAGGCAAATCCTTCACGTTGTATGTTTAAAAATTTCAGATATTGATTTTACTAATATATAATCTAATATTAGAGCTCTGAGCAAGAGCTCACATTCTATTTTATGCTCCATCACTGACTCACAGTAAGATCTTGGGCAAGTCACTTGACCTTCTTATATTTCAGTGTGTCAAACTAGCCATAAAACTGAGTAAAGCATGACCTCATTACAAACCCAATAGACCTGAAAGCTAAGACGTGCTTTGATACATTAAAGAATTACTGGAAGAGAACTCTAGCTGGTAAAACGTGAAGAATCAGAACAATGAGTTTTGGGGCCGGCCCAGTGGTGCAAGCAGTTAAGTGTGAGCACTTGCTGTGGCGGCCCGGGGTTTGTGGGTTTAGATCTCGGGCACACACCAAAGCACTGCTTGTCACACCATGCTGTGGCGGCATCCCATATAAAGTACAGGAAGGTGGGTGCTGGCCCCGTGGCTTAGCGGTTAAGTGTGCGCGTTCTGCTGCTGGCAGCCCGGGTTTGGATCCCGGGCACGCACCGACGCAGATTCTCCGGCCACGCTGAGGCCGCGTCCCACATACAGCAACTAGAAGGATGTGCATCTATGACATACGACTATCTACTGGGGCATTGGGAGAAATAAATAAATAAATAAAAATATTAAAGTAGAGAAAGATGGACACAGATGTTAGCTCAGGGCCAATCTTCCTCAGCAAAAAAAGAAAAAAAAAGAAAAAAGAGGATCAGCATCAGGTGTTAGCTCAGGGCTGATCCCCCTCACACACACACACACACACACACACACACACACACACGAATAATGAATTTTACTGTAGTAAGTAAAATGATTCTGAAATGTAGTTTTTAGCAAGTCAAGTCATGAAAAAGTTTCAAAGTATTTTATTTGGGTGAAATAGGTTAAATAACAGAGGAATAAATATTATTTTAGAGAATGCCTGGTTTTCAAAACCATAGATTGTAGCAACTTAACTAAAGTAATTATAAGGAATGGAAGACTATTAGAAGCTAATGAATCCTTAATAATGAAACACATTTCATTTCTAGGCCATTATTTTCCCCTACTTATACAATGTATACTGTGTTTTTTGTTTTTTTTTTTGTGAGGAAGATCAGCCCTGAGCTAACATCTGTTGCCAATCCTCCTCCTTTTTTTCCCCCCCAAAGCCCCAGTAGATAGTTGTATGTCATAGTTGCACATCCTTCTAGTTGCTGTATGTGGGACGCAGCCTCAGCATGGCCTGACAAGCAGTGCGTCGGTGCGCACCCAGGATCCGAATCCGGGCCACCAGTAGCAGAGCGCGAGCACTTAACCGCTAAGCCACGGGACCGGCCCCTATACTGTGTTTTAAAATATATTTTACTAACTGCTATATGGAAAACCTGGCAAAAGAATACAAATTCCCTTAGGAATGAAGCAGTTTTAACAATGTGTTTGGCCATTTAAACTTGGTACTCATTGGATTATTGAACATTCTTTAAACTGACTTTGTATCAGTCCCTTTTCCTCTATTTCCCTATTTCCAACTCTCCCATTAATATATACACTTTACTCCCTCTCAGGTTTCCCCCCATGAGCACAAGATGTTGATGATGATGATGGTGATGGTGATGGTGAAGATTCATAGATTTGTGAATGAATAATGTCTTTCTAATCTGCAGAGGGAAGGCAGCACCATTCCCTGGCTTGCTGCTGCTGCCTCTCTTTAAACAACAGGTTCATTCTTTCTGTGGCATTCCAGAAGGAACATCAGTAAGAACAGTTCCATAGATACTTGTTTGAGGTTATCTCAGAAGTCCTATGACATCTGCAATGTGCCCTGAACATTTTCCATTCGTTCAAAACATATTTCTCCAGACTCTGTCAAAGCCAGAAAGAAACATAACCAAGCAAAGCTCTTTCTAGCAGAGCTTGTCAATAACACACTTTGCCACATTCTCTGAAAGAGTAAGCAAACAATAACTTGCAACTGTTGCCCAGGCCCTGTAAACAAAAGATCAGATTCTGTGTTCTGCCTTGGCAAGAAAAGCAATTGCAGCATTTTGGCAAGATTTTTACAAGTTCTGGGCTTCAAATGAACACCGGAAATTGTCCTTTTTCTAGTTTACAGAAAAATTGAAAACATTAGTAAATCTAAAGATTAAAAAACTATTGAAAAAGAAATATAATCAAGATTGTGCGTTAAAATATGGTCTAGCTCGGTAGTAGAGTCAATCAGCTGTGTGTTCAGCTGTAATCTAGGGGATTCGAAGCATCTATTTTTTTCTTTCTTTGTTTCTGTGGATTTATGAATAAAGATCTGATCCCTCTCAGGACCAGGAAAACTAAGAAAAAACATTCAAAGCATGGGTTTTAAGGTCTATAGAAGATGTACAGGTACATTAATTTCAGTAAGACTGGAACCAGGATGAATAGTATTTTCCATAGGAAAAAGAGAACAAAACAGTAGGGGAGAGATATTATTCAGGCATGCAAAAAATATTCAGTTGCAACGTAAAAAACATTAAAATAAGACTGGCTAAGCATGTGAGCATGGCACAGATTTAGCAATTGAGCATATATAATTTGTCTCAGACATTGCTTCAAATTTTGAAGAGAAAAACGTCTGACCAATTTCTTGCACGAGGAAAACTGCCTTGCTCCTTCTAGACCCCTCTCCTCGGCAGCTGAAGGTGTGCAGTCAACTCCTCTGCCCCAGAACCGCCCGCAGCTCCCTGAACGGGAGGCGGCCAGCTGGGGACCCCGGGGCGAGGGGCCAGGGGGATCCGGCTGCCACAGTGGACAGTAAGAGATGCGAGCGGGGGGGG